GGATACTCCACAATAAACTTGCGGTTGAAGCGATATTTAGGGGTACTACGATCACCCCTGCTTAGAAGGACGGGGTCCTCCCTTTGCAATTCGACTAAGATGTCCCTTGACAGGATTCAAGAAAGCCGAGCTGCCCTGACTCCACAGTCGTTGAGCAACTACTCTGGCTTCACCGCGGATCACCAGATCCAACGGTGGGAGATCCAACAGAGCTTCCATTGCACTCAATGGCGTTGTTCGCACTGCACTTGTAACACTAATACAGGCCAAACGCAGAAGCTTACATTAAAGCTCATTTAAACAAGACTAGCTGTGAATATCAATAAAGCCAATCCGAAGATATACTGCTTTTTCTGAAAAGACCTGGAACTTCTTCGTCCCTAAGCCAGTCGAGTTACGAAAGAATGATGTTAACAAAAAAGGTCACAAACCACGAATACTATCCAAAAAAGCTATTTTGAATATATTTTGTGCATGTGGTGTTTCCTCCTTTCCCCTATATCTCCTAAAGCCCCAGGGTACCATGGGTGCCATAGGTCTTAGGCATTCGTGGTGGTTCGATTATAAAAAATGAATATCTGAGGTTAGAGTTACGCCGGCTAGCGGCCATTTTAAGAAGATTTATTTAGAATTATATATAGAATTTATATAGGAATAATTTCCAGCAGTTTCTCTTGGCAGCCGGCGTCCTTTATTAATGGTCCATCCGCGGGGGTATTACGTATCTTTGTAAGTAACATTAGGTAGGTTTTTTACATTATAAAGGTTTTTTGTGGCATTATGCAGGTTTTTCTACAAGATGTCAACTTAGCATAAGCTGTTGTACACTTGTTGTGTACTCGTTCCGTAGCTATACGTATTTCCCAAACGTCATGATGCTTCAGCTATCAATGTTTAAGATCTGCTTCAGCGATAGCATTATTGGAGGTCTAAGCGGTAAGTTGTATACCATAGCTGGAACGAAAACGGCAGTGCACAGGTGCATAGTGAGGATGTGTGTGCTAATAATCTGTTGTGTTGATGATAATTCCACTGGATTCTCTCAAATACCTTACTTGAGATGCATGCAAAGCTGAAAATTAGATGGGCATCCGCGTTTTGTTATTTTGTTATTCAACCTGGAAATTACATATTCAAATTTGCTGAATTTAAAAAAAGCGATTAGAAAAGAAAATCCCTGGTTGGTGAAGTATATTAAAACTAATTACACAACGCGGGCGCGGTGCTGATTTCCCGTAATTGAAAACGCAAAAAAACAGGGAAAATTGTAAAGTATAACCTATCTATCTTCAGAAAGGACAACACAAATAACCCGCCTGGCACAGCTAATAGCTGTATTTCATGGGCAGCATATTGAATAACAATTTTCTCGCATAGCAAATATCATTGATTTTATACACATGCGGACCATTAGACACAATCATCCAGAAGTGATCTTGATACTCTGCTACTCAACCACACATCTTCTCAGAGTATACTCTTGCAGCTTGCAGCATCGTCAATGACCGTGTCGTGTCGTTGAGTCATTCCTCCATAGATGGATGCTCACAGCGCTCATAGCAAGCAAACGCACACTAGGAACAATCTAGGCAGCAAATTGACATTTTGTCGTTTTTTACGTTTACTAGGTTTTTTACGTTATAGCTCTGCGGGTACTTGATCATACGTAGGTGCTTTATGAGGTAATAAGTAATTTTACTTAGTGTTTAAAAAAATGTGGAATAGCATGAGCAACCGGGTACCCAACGACAATGCTGACATTTTAATCATCAGTAGAAAATATTAGGAAACATATATAAAAGAATCTTGTAATAGTTTCAGTCGCGAATCTAGGATGATGGCTGCTAAACCTCCACCATAATATGCGTAATTCCATATACAAATATCATCAGTTCGATAAATAAGGACAGCTTTCTATGATGTCCCACAAATACGAGTACCGCAACAAGTACTGTGTAGCGGGGGAATGCTGGAAATACATTCTCCAACTAAACTGAACCCATAAGATAACTCATAGCTAACACAGATAAATAATAACGCAGACAAACAAATGTCTATCCTTAGACTAGTCTCAATTTTTTTCGTTTCGTGACAGACCTAGTTTCTACAGCTCACTATGTATTACATGATTTGTGTTGGTTTCATACTGAAATTAAACTCTAGTTAGCAAGTTTGCAGAACACATGATCTATTGTTTACGACAATGGTGTCAAATTACATGTTGACGGATTCATTGTGGCGATAATACGCATTAATTTTAGAAAAAACACTCGTATGCCATATTTTTTGAGTGGCGAGCACCAACCGAGAGGATTTAAAACTAAATTAGTATGTTGCTGAAATTCTTGGTGAAACTGTTTCCGTATACGAATGTAGTAGAGCCGAGTAGTTTTACTATTAAGAATAATATCTTATAATAATAATAATAATAATAATAATGACGCCTTTATTTGTTGTACAGGTGAAGGACAAAGATAGCGAAGTTTAGCCTAGGCTACTCTTACACTTAACTATCTTTGTCAGTACATTTAGAGCACGATGTAATGTGCGTTGCCTAAGATGTTATAAAAAAAATTATAGTTATAACTAAACTATGCTATAAACTAAAATACACACATATACATATATACACCCATACACAATTATAATATTTAGATACATATATACATAAGAAAAGATACTGCACAAATATCAGGTAAGGGTAAATACAAATTGTTTTATTTGTTTACGGAAATTGGCAGGAGACATTTCCTTGTATTTAAATGGTAAAGCATTGTAAAGTATGGCAGCATTATACGAAAAACAACGCTTAAAAAGTGTCATAGTGTGAGGCGGTATTCTGATTATTTTACGGTCTCTTATGCTCTTGCTATGAACTTCATGACTAAATATAATCTTACCTCTCAAATAAGCGGGCTTTGACGTAGCTATCAACTTGTGCAAAAATTTTAAGTACTTGTACTCAACTAGCTTGCCAATTTTTAGCCATTTCATATGATGGTACCTAGCGCTAACATGGTCAAATTTTCTCAGCCCATGGATAAAGCGGATGCAATTATTTTGAATAATTTGCAGCCGGTTCTTCATGAACTGGTCGAGACATGGATAGTACAGAATATCGCAATAATTTAAGATTGACATAACAAGAGACTCACACAATTTTTTCCTTAATTTATATTTTAGAAGACGGCGATTGGCAATCAATGATCTCATTCTGGCATATGTCTTTTTAGTTAGTGACATGGCATGGCCCATAAACCTTAATTTGCTGTCTACTTCAACCCCTAAAATCTTAGCTGAATGTGTTAGTTCTAACAGTGAACCATTTAGATGCACTTTGAATGAAATTTCCAAATTCCTTCTCCTTGCTTCTGAGCAAAATAGTAATATTTGCGTTTTATCTCGATTTATTGTTAGATTGTGGTCACTTGAATATGTTTGTACTTTGTTCAGATCCTGCTCTAATAGAACAGCAGCATCTTGCGAACAAGAGGTGTCAAAATAGTGTATAAGTTGAGTGTCATCAGCAAAAGTTTGTAAATCAGAATGTGCGACAGATTTGTGCAAATCAAAAGTGTATATCAAAAACAATACTGGACCTAGTATGGAACCCTGAGGGACGCCCGATGGTATTACGCTGACTCCAGACCGCCTGTTGCCCACAGAGACACACTGCGTACGCTGCTGAAAATAGTTTTTAAAAAACTGAACACTCACATTATCAAGTCCAATATAATGTAATTTGGAAAGCAAGAGTTGATGATTGATCTTATCGAAAGCTTTAGAGTAATCTATTGAGACTAGAGTTACCGCCATCTTTTTGTCCATAGCTCGGACCACATTATCGCACAGATTCAGTAGCGCAGAGGTCATTTATGTTTTTCTGGCAGGGAAGGTTTACTGCGAGAGTTTATACTAAAATTCTTTAACCCTGACCAAATTTTGCTTGAATGATTTTGCTCGGAAAGTTCTCCCAGATAAGCTTTTTTTGCTTTTCGGATATCTATAAGAACTTTGTTTCTGAGGCGTCGATAACTTTCAAAATTATTTAAAGTTCTATTTAGTCTATATCTCGCCAATGAGTCATCTTTGTCTTTCATGGCCTTTTTGAGTTCATTATTCAGCCAGGGTGCTGGAGGTTTAGATACACGAACAGTCCTAAGTGGGGCATGCTTATTGAATAGTTCAACCAAGATATTTGTTAAGTGCGCAACTTTATTGTCTATATCATCAATAAAAAATAGATCATCAATATCAATAAGGAAGGTCATTAAGGAAGGCTGCATCGTCAAAATGTTTAAAGTCTCTAAAAGTTATTACCCTTGGTTTCCTTTTAAAAGTGCCTACCTTTACGTTGCACATGACCAGCTTGTGATCAGATATTTGATCTGCATTCATTCAGCACTACACATTCATGAAGAAGGTCAGGCTTGCTAGTGAATATAGGGTCAAGTAATGTTGCTGAGTGCTCCGTTACGTGGGGTTAGGAGAGGTAATCATTTGTGCAAAGCCGGTTGAATTGAAGCAAGGAAGCAGAATCTTATTTTGATTTAAAAGTTACTCTTAATAACCCATTTCTTAATTTTTTTTAATAAAATTATTTGATAAAATGCGTTAAGCTACATATTTTTCACGGTATGCTCACTATATTAAATATTTATGTTTCAATTAGAACAAAATAACCAGCAAAACGCCACTGAAATGTCAGTCCCGTGCCATGTCCTGGCAGGAGTCTGTTGATAATACCTGCCAATTTTTGTTACCTTAAGTACTGTTTTCAAAACTTTCTATACACAGATTACAAGTATACACATAGCTAATTACAATATAGAAAATTGGCGACACAAAAAAGATAAATAATTGAGTAATTTTTGGGAAAACATTTGTCCCCAGCTATTTCGTCAGTCCCGTGCCGCGCCATAAAGTAGTGGGGGGACGGTACAGTATCCAATATATGTGTTGTCCAGTGTTGTCCCTACTGAAAATTGTTAGTATTGTCTCAATAATCGGAGGATGTGCGCAGATTTTGCATAGTTCGAGCAGAAACTGGGGCCGACGAGTAAAAAGCGTGTTGGAAACCTACCCATTGTCAGTACCGTGGTAAGTGTGTTAAAGCTGTTTTTCCTCTTTTTTCCTTTAAATGCTGCATGAGTACTGCATGCATCAAGAAATCATAATTGTTCTTCTGAAATCAATTAGTAATTTAATTCCAAGTACTTATTTTTCTTGTCGTAAATGCAATAATGTCAGTCCCGTGTCATTAGGAGAACACGGGACTGACCGTGTGACACGGGAGTAGTGACTTCAATCTATTTTTTTTCTATAAAACTATAATAAGCATGTGTTGATGCAAGTGATTTTTTACAGATCTCTCCGAGTAGGAGCTAAGGTACTCTGTTCTGAAAAAATTGAGTGACATTGACCAGTAATATTTGGTAAACACTTGTTGCACTGCTTAGGAAGAAATGTCTATATAATAACCTTTCGCAGGGTGTAAGATGGCTGGACATAGGAAAACATCTGAAGAAGAGAGAAAGCGTATCAAACGTGATCGGAAACGAGAACGGAGGCGTAAAATAAGAGAAGATCCAGAAAACCGTGAGGAGCAGCGAGAAAAAGAGCATCAGAAATACTTGCTTCAACGGAAGAACAAAGAAAGGAAGCTTGTTTCGGAAAAAACAGAAAGGGAAATTAGATCGCAGCGTAAAAAGTGGAGGGAATATACAAAATCTCATAGAGACCGATTAAAGTTAAGATCATCCGAAAGTTCAGATATGCCAGAGCATGTGACGAAACGGCTGGATGGGAGAAAGGAGCATGCAATAAAGAAGAGTAATAGGATGCAACTCAAGCGACATCGAGAAAGAAGAAAAAATGAAGCGACAATAGCAGACCTTAAAAACAAAGTCGGAAACTGGAAGAAAAAAATATTCTCGCCTGAAGAAGTCAATGTACAAAAATACAGATGTCGCTCAACAAACTAGTTCCCCATCAGTACCACCTGGAACTAGAGTACAACAGATCATAGAAAGCTCTTCAATACAGGAGAAAAATGTAGAAGAGGTTAAAAAACAACTTCTTTTTGGGGAAGCCATCAAGGACCAGCTGTCAGAAAGTTATAAATCGTTACGCCCAAATGAAAAAAAGGTTTTTGTGAAAATCATGAATCGAAGAATTATTCAAAAGTACAAGCTTCAACGAACGTGTTCCAAAGTTTTTCGATATACAAAAATAAGAGTAGTGGAATACAGCGAAGGATGTAAACGTTAATCATAGAAAAAACCTAAAAGCATCTGAAAATAGGAACAAAATTGTGGCGTTCTTACAGGAAGATGTGTACTGCAGGATTTGAAGTTACCCATCAAAAAAAAAATTTAACAAACACTTTGAAAAATATGTTCAGAGTTTTGTAAAAGATACTCCGATGTCAAGGTGAGTTATACATTTTTCTGCAGATGTAAGCCTTTCTGGATAGAGTTTATGAAGGTAGCAAATCGTGACACATGTAGATGTATGACACATAGTAACATGGAGAAATTGATTGTTGTATCTCTCTGACAAAGTAAAGTGTTGCATTGCAAAAGTGTAATAGAAGTAATTGAATGCAATGAATTAATTGTGTTTACTTAGGAAATGTTCAGTGTGTGTATCTTATAAACCTAAATATTTTGAGTAGTACGATCCTGGTAACGTTGTATCATTTAGACAGTGGAGAAAGATAAAACAAACTTATTTCAGCAAAAGATCACAAAACAACGTTACCTGCTTGAAAATTGCTAAAATCAGGCAAGAGATAGCAATATCAGATATTTTGAACAAATTTGAAAGTAGGTTACCTCTTTTTCTGGCACACGAGAGCCGCATTTTCCACCAATACAAAGCAATCAAGACTCTGAAACAGAACTTGACAAATAAAGAAATACTCATTCACTGTGACTTTTCTGAGAATTATAATCTGAAGTACGCAGAAGAAATCCAGTCTTATCATTTTGGAGGATCAAGGCAACAGATTACGTTACATACTGTGGTAATTTATAGCCGAATACCAGAAAACGACTTGAAGGTTGACAGTTTTTGTACATTATCAGAGTAGTTGGAGCATGGTCCTGGTGCCATATGGGCTCATCTGTTTCCATCTGATCAAACTTTATACTGATAATGAATCAGCTAACAGAACTTCCCGTATGTATAGATATGTGGCCTTGTGTGAAGAAGCTATTGATAGTACTTCAGACGAAGGCATGGTTACTTTCCTCAGAGAGTGTTATGCCAGAATCTCGCAACCATTTAGATTAGAAGAAGACGATAGCAGTTATTCTAGCAGCAAGGATAACGTTGAAATATTACCTAAGCCTAGCATTTTCTATAAATTTTCAACTAATATTGATGTCTTCAAAAGTGCTCAAGCCAGCAAAATTTTCATGTAGTCGCTGTTATGTTACATTATGTTGTTGAAGAATACTTCCTGTGTGTTTATTTTGTACCTGGTTCTTTTGAAATAAAAAATAAAAAGCATGTTTGCTAGCTAGCTGTTTCCTTGTCAATTCCGTTAAAGTTTGTCAGTCCCGTGTATTGAGATATTCAAAAAATGTTAAAAATTAAATATACAAACTAAAATATCGGTTATTGTACTTTTTCCAAACACAAAACTCATACTTTATTGAGTGAATGCATGATCATGTAAAAACTCAATATTTTTTATGTGGCACATTAAGAGGACTCAAATGTCCCACTTTGAAGATATTGACCCATATAGTTTTTAATAACAAATTTCACCAACTTCAGTATGGTTTCTAAGTAGAATGTTTTTATGCGGATTATATATCTTGAATATTTAAACCAATTTTACTCCAAATGGAGTCATCTGACAGGATTTTTTTAAGAGAGAATGGTTACGTAGAATTATATGAAAATGCGATAGATTTCCTTTGTCTTCTGTGGGAATCAAAGTACCCCAGTAACATTGACAGCAGTTAGCATGGAGATATAGACCCGTAAGTGGCGTCACTAAATATTGTTTTTTCTTAATCAACGAAACTACACAGATAAATTTAACGAATTATTGGTAACTTCGTAACCAATTATAGCCTGACGATAACAAGGCCAGGCAAAGTCAGATGGGCCATAAATAAATTCCAGCAATTCAAATCCCCAGGAGTAGATAGCATATACCCTGTTCTATTGCAAAAGGGGCAGCATGTGCTTATTCCGGATCTCGTTAAAGTCTTGAAGGCTTGCTTGGCCTGGAAATATACTAAGTGACATATAAATCCGAACACCCAGTTTAAATGGTTTTATTTTAATAAAATTTTGTATAAGTACTTAATGAAGCATAATAAGTAAATGATAAAAATTTCAAAATGATTGCACTGCTTTAAAGCCCTTTGACTTTTAATAATGTGTGGATGCACCCTGATGTGCTACGCATTCTCCAACGCGCCTAGGCATGCTTCTGATCAGGTGGTCAATGTCCTCCTGTGGTATCTCATTCCAGGCTACCACCAACTCCTCTCGAAGTGCTTCTAGAGTCTGAGGAGGACGTTGCAAATTGAGCAATCTCCTACCCATCATATCCCACACGTGCTCAACGTTGATTCTTTACTGCGGCTGAAATATTCATTTTTAGCGCGTTAGTGAATTAAAAAAAAGCAGTATAAAAACCGGAATGTCCAACTAATAAGGCTGAAAATTTTTTCACTTGTTCTTTACAGTAAGATAAATACATTCACCAACTTTTATTAAAATAACACCATTTAAACTGGGTGTTCGGATTTATATGTCACTTAGTATATTCTACGTTTAACTGAACATAAATATAAGCAAACACATTGTTTTTAGTTTATTTACATAATTATATTTGTTGAATGTAATTATATAATAATTATTAAACTGAATTAATAGATTTGGAAAAGATTACCTTTTGTCTTATTTATGTGAATTTCAAAATGAATAAATTATATTAAAATAAAATTCCGAATAACTGCTCTTTTCCTTAGAGAAAATTAGAAGGGTGACTTCGAAGTTGAGTCATTTATTTTAACAGTGAGTAGATCTGATCAAAAGAAATGTTTTTTCCTTTACCATTTTTCTGGTAAAATTAAAGTAACAAAGTTATAGCCCTTTGGAAGTTTGAGTACCGCCCTGTCTCAATAATAATATTATGTGCTCGTGTTTGGCGACAACGGATATAATCCGCGGTATCGGTTCATCGCATCGGAAACAAAAAAGCGAAAGAATTTGGAACGATGTTTTTACAATTATTTTATTCATTTGTATACAGTCAGTGTCAGTGAATAGTAGTGTCTGTTGCGTGGCTCAAACGAAATAAAAAATGGCACATGTTTATGCGGATCGGTTTCCCAATCGAGTGCAACCAACCCCTCGTGCCTTTGTTAATGTAGTACAACGGGCTCGTGAATCAGGTGACTTAAGACCACACAGGGGACTGCATGCCGGTGCTCCAAGACCTCACAATCATATACAGGTCCGCACTGAAATACTTGTCGGGAGGATACTTTATAAAACAAGGTACAAATTTTTTTTTATTTTTTTTTTATTTTTACACACATATTTTGGTTTATCTTCCTTCTACAATCATTATCTGAAAATTAATGACTCAACTTCAAAGTCACCCTGTATAAATAGATTATGAAAACTACGAGAAATGGCAGTAAATTTGTTTTTGCAGAGTATAAAGCAATAAAGCACTAGTTACTGCTTTTTGATTTACGATAGTTAAAGACGGAATGTCATTTATTTTAGGCTTCGACAACAATTGGGATCCAAAATTACATTTAAGTCACTCTATAAAGTCCTGTAACTTTACAATATTCATTCACTTTTATTATGTCGTAACAATACTCTTTATTTAGTTCGAAAAAATTCAGTTTTGAACTCAATTTTCACAAATCAAGCATGGCAGAATAGATTTGCTAACAAACAAAATGACGGCCGTTTTTATAGATTAAATGATTATTTTCTAAGTCTTAGGTAGTTCAAAAATCGGATTAACAAAGTGTATCAGCTCCTCATAGCAGCCACGGTACCCTCTGGTACTTAGCATTCTGATTACGCAGCTGCTTCTGTATATTGTATACTTTTTTTTTCTATAAAAACGATTACCATTTTGTTTTTCAGTGGGTCTGTCGTGAAGTCATTTCAGATCATCCTAAAAATAAATACCAGCATATGGCCAAACTTTATCACGACTTCTAACTTCCAAAAATGCTTCATACGAATTATAAATATGTAAACAAGGAACGACTTTTCTGTTACAAGTACTTCCTATTTATAGCCTAGGCTAGAACAAGGGAATTGAAAAGTGCAAACCTAAGCATCTCTACATATGAGATCATCATCACAGCACTACCGTAGTTGGCTAGAACAAAGGAATTGAAAAATGACAACCTAAACATCTCTACACATGAGATCCTCATCACAGCAGTGCCGTAATTCCTCCCTCTTCAAGAAGAGAAGGACAAATTTCATTAAGTTCAATGTCATTTTTGACTGATTGATTTTTGGGTTATTTAGTCTTCAAAACGGAGAGCAATGGCTTTTTTAAACAAATTAGAAATACAATAAATGTCAAGGTACTTAAAATAGATGCAATGCTTAACGTAGAAATTTTGTGTGAAAAATCTAAATTTTTTAATTTATCATGCAATCAAAACTTAATCCAATTGAATATCTAAAAAACCCTTCACATCAGTATTTTAAAACAACATATTCTTAGCATAGTTCACTTCCATGTTAGGTATATACAAAGATTTCGAAAAAGCAGAAGTCTTCGAATACTCAATATGAGCAATAAATGTTTTACAACTTAAAATGATAGTAAAAGAGGAATCGGTTTTTTCTTTGGTACAATCTTCATATAATAGAATATTCTTGTTAGTGTTCCCCAAATAATAATTAGCGTATTCGTTATGCAATTTGTTGAGTATATCCAAATTATCTCTTAAATCAAAGTGTTATTTTCATATCTGTCTTGTAATTGTTTTGCTACAGAGACGGTTCGAGAATTTTGTAACGATAAACTATATTGAGTTTCTTTGAGGATTTTGATATTTTAACACTTGTGCCAAATCAATAGTAGAAAAATATGTGCCTTTGCCTAAATTTTCCAAGATTTCTTTAATTAGTGAGAGCGGAAATGTATCCTCAATTCTTATTTCGTTCAATTTCCTGAAATCAACAACCATTCTGTATTTTTTCACACCGGACGCATACATTTTCTTAGGAACTACCCAGCAGGGTGATTGATAGGGTGAATTACTTTGTCGAATAACTCCATCATTCAATAATTTGGAAACTTGATTTTGGATTTATTTTTTGAGATGGTAAAGATATCGATAATTTTTTACATTAATGGGGTCTTCATTTTTCAATCTAATTTTGTGTGTAGTGGCATTACAAGTAGTTAATGATTCATTAGGCTTGAAACATACTTGTTTGAATTGCTTGCAGAAATTAAGAATATTTTCCTTCTCGTCACTGTTCATATTTTCAGTAGAAAAAGGAGAGAGGTTCAGATGACAATTGATTGGAAATATCAAGATATTGAATAATATTATTTTCTACGTTGCAGATACATTCAGGAAAATATTCGTCAGTATTTTATAGGTGAAACAACAACAGAACCATTATCCAAATTTAAAGATTTTTTGGGTTGCCATACTGAACTGGATTGTTTTCTCGAATTGGCTTAAAAGAAGTGTTATAACTAATCTTACATTTAGCAGTTATAATATGATGTCTGGTCAAATCAATAGAGCAATTAAGCTTTTATAAATCATAGAATCCTCACAAGTAATCATAACGTGAGTGCCAAGGAAGAATTAAAAATTCAATTTCAGTTTTATTCTCCCATTCAGAAAATATGGGATCTCTAAAATTGGACGTACATGAATTGATTTCAAAAGGATGACAAAAAATACGATCTGGAAAATATTTAAAAGCAATTTTTGGATTGATCAGGGATGATGTTGCACCAGTCGCGATTAGGATTATAATATTAAATTGAGAACTGAAAATATACGGATGATGAGTTTTTTGATAACCGTTTATATCTAAGCCAACTTTTGGCATTGGCTCGTCGAAAGCTTGAATGTTCGTAGGGTAATGAGGTTTAAAATTTTGTCTTTGTGGTGGTAATTGCATAGGACCTCATGGGAATGTTGGTTGTGGATCTAGCCAACTTTGACTATTTTGGGCTCTAAAAAAACTGATTGGGCTTTGGAGAAAAATTAGAAATAGATCTTTATAAATTTTGATTTGGAACTTGAGCTTTATTCTGCGAGTGAGGCTGTTGTCGTTTATACAGACTCGTTCTTAAGAAATTTTGTAATCAACTTGCATTTGCGAATTGTCATAATCTCGTCAATATTGAACACAAAAATCAATGGTAGTAGGATTTTGCTGTCTCTCAATTTAAAAGCAATATGATCGTGATTATAATGGTATTCTAAATTTTCAAATTCTTTCAGACTCTGTACCTTAAATAATTTTTTGGTAAAAGTCTTCGTATTTTTGGTTAGGTTTCTGAACTGAAGTGTGTACAGCAGTGAGAAGAGTTTCTTCGTTTCTAGGATATTTAGGAATACTTGGATAATAACAATGATTTTAAATCTGGCCAAATTCTCGGACTCGTTAGATGCACTAAATCTCTTACTTCACTTTCTAGCTGAGACTTGACATATTGAAAAGCATATGAAACAAATGGTGTATTGACAAATTCTGCGAAAAACTTGTCTGAATTATCCAAAAAATAAATAAGATCTCTATGACTTCCATGATATTGTGGTACCATACACTTAGCTAAGTTAAATTTAATTTATAAATCTTGAAGAGATATGGTTGGCTGATTACAACTAAGACGTGAGGGAGTCAAAATAACTTGTCTAACAGATTATTTTCGACTACAGAATCAAATTAAGGTTCGGACATTAAATATTAAAATGTAGTCACTTTTAGACGCTAAATAAATTCACTTATAGATAATGTTTATATCTAAATTTAATTCGGTAGAAGAATAGTATAAAAAATAGTGAAAATTGGGTGAAAAAGTTTCAAAAAATCGAAAAATGTAAATGTTGTTTCTATCGCTACACAAGGCACTAGCAGCTTCATTTGGAGAGATCTCAGATACCTCTTTGGGCCAATACAGCTCCTCCCAGTTAACAGCTTGGATCTAGCACCCCGCTCCAGTCCGCTCCTGTCGTTTTCTTAAGAGTCGTTGCCTGCTCCCAAAATACTTACCTGATCTCGCAGACTAGGTAGTTTTTAGTGTGCAAATAGTTCATTCCACGTTTGCTCGCTATGATCGCTGTTTGCTGACGTTTAAGGTCGGTTTATACATATCCGTGCCGTGTCCGTTCCGTGTTATGAAAGTGCCTGGCGAAAAAAAAAAATATGTACTCTAATGAGTATATTTATACATTGGCGTTTTCAGGACGGGGCCCGTCCGTGCCCGGCCTGACATTAATTCCAAACGATAATTTTGATTTCGGCACTGGCGATGCTCGGAAATGACACGGACCGCACGGACTTGTATAAACACGATTTTATTGTTTTGTGAACGTGAGTGCTGGTAAACAGGCAAGCAGGAGATGTTGTGCGGTTAGCGGTTAGTATGTTATGATTTTTTATATGTATTATTTATGAATTTGCATATTTTATTTCTTATTTCTGATTACATATTTTTATTGATTTTAGTGTAATATTCCTTACTGATGCCATTTACGTATTACTATTATTATGGACGATGAAAAACTTATCGAATTGGTCCGGAAATACCCGGTCATTTATAACACCTCAAATTCAAAATATCTAGACACCAAATACAAATTGGAAATCTGGAAGAAAATAGGAGAAGAAATACAAAAAACAAGTATGTAAACGCATATTTATTTTATTTGTAGTCAGTGGGTTTACATGAGATCTTTTAGTTTATTAACTGGCTTTGTGGCAACAAAAAATAATTCTTAAATACATTTCTAACTTGAAAAGCCTCTTCAGTTGCATTACCACCTTTCAATGGAATATTTTGAAATCATGACAATTGACCTGAACTATTCGGTCACCACATATTGTGAAAACGGGCCTTAGAGTGTAATATAAAAATATTTATTTTCAGGTAGTGTTTGCAAAAATAGATGGCAGAATATACGCGACCAGTTTAGAAAAATCTTGGCAAAGGAAGTGGCTAAAAGTGGACAAGCAGCGGAAAAAAGAAAAAAATATAAATATGAAGATTGCTTGCAATTTTTAATTCCGTTTTTTGCCGAGAGAGACACTCTGTCTAATGTCCAGTCTTCGAATTCTGATACTCCTTTGAACACAATACATGAAGAGACTGAAGATGAAGGAAGTCAATCACAAGCAGTGCAACCAACTACGGAGATTTTAGAAACAAGCACGCCCACAGAAAACCAACTGCGTCCTGTAATAAAATCGCCGTCAGTTTCAACCAAAAGGAAACTTCCTGAGCAGGAATCAGCCTCAACTACTTTAATGAAATATATAATCGCTAGAGAAAATAGTCAAAAAACAGAAAATGTTCATCCAGTTCTTTTTTTTCTGGACTCGCTGCCACTGTCAAGTCTTTTTCCCTATATTACCAACATTTGGCAAAAGGTAGGCTATTTCACGTGGTGCAAGAATTGAAGGAGCAACAACTACTTCGACCCATTGTCCAAAATACTGTGTACAACGTAACACCTTTGTCATCTCCGTCGCCCGCTGGAACTTCATTAGATTATACCCAAATGTCATATATGCCAACACCATCACTGGCTGGGCCATCGTCAGATTCTACCCATACGTTTCATCAGTTGTAGACATTTGAAGCCAAAAACGATAGACCAAATGAATCAACATGTAACTCTATAGCAAGCGATTATTATCACAATTTTCAATGAAATTAAATTGTAATAATAAGTAATAATAATTAAAAATAAAATGATAATCATAATTTAAAAAGGGACTTTATTTCAGTACATAAATACTTACCTTAAACAAACAGTCAAACGTTCTCTGGGCGAGATCGGTATGAGATGTAAGTTGCTTCTCAAGACGATATTTAATTTTATCCAATAAAATATTAAACGAGTACTGGGACATTCTAAAATATTCGTGAAATTTTGTTTCATCGTCCAATAATTTTCTGTATATTTTGAATTCTCCTTCGGTTTGTCTTTTTTTCCACATAGGATGCACACTCCATCTTCTTTGTTTCCGCCTTTTCTGCTCTTGCTCTTCCTCTTCATCAAGTAATAATGCCAATACGGTGAGATCTTCTATCCAAGCCGCCATATTTTCAACTATCTTTTACACAGAAATATGTAATAACGTTTTCTCTCCCTCATTCGGCCCGGTACGCATTCTGCCACAACGCGGTTGTATGTAAATATAACATTAAAAATACCCGGACTCGGCACTGACACGGAACCGACACGGCACGGATATGTATACTAAGTGACATATAAATCCGAACACCCAGTTCAAATGGTTTTATTTTAATAAAAGTTGGTGAATGTATTTATCTTACTGTAAATAACAAGCGAAAAAATTTTCAGCCTTATCAGTTGGACATTCCGGTTTTTATACTGCTTTTTTTTAATTCACTAACGCTCTAAAAATGAATATTTCAGCCGCAGTAAAGAATCAACGTTGGCGGATTTTGGTTCTTGACATCCTTTACGATCGGTTACGATGCCTAGAGTACGGATACCTGTACGATTTCGTCAACTTAGCGAGTTTGATAGGGGCCGTATAGTGGGACTTCGGGGAGCTGGACTTTCTTTTCGGGCAATTGCAGTTAGAGTGCAAAGAAGTGTAGACACTGTGGTTAGGTGTTGTCAGGCATGGCTTCGAGAAGGCCGTACGCAAAGAGCAAGGGGCACTGGACGCCGCCGTAGAACAACAGACCGTGAAGATCGCCGCCTAAGATTATTGGCCTTAAGGGACCGTTTCTCCACTACCAGGTCCATTGCAAATGAATGGTTTACAGAACACGGAAGATCTATTGGCATGCGAAGTGTTTACCGACGAATGAGAAGTTTTGGCTTGTTTTCATACCGGCCACACTGGGTCCTCCCTTTAACTCGAGAACACCGACGTAATCGCCTTGAGTGGTGCAGACAACGGTCACTCTGGGATCAGGAATGGAACAGTATTGTCTTTAGTGACGAGTCTCGATTTTGTTTAGGCATGCACGATGGTCGTGCCAGGGTTAGAAGGCGACGTGGTGAAAGGAGGAATCCACAGTTTTTTGTTGAAAGACATGTTCATCACACTGTTGGAGTTATGGTTTCGGGTGCTATAGCTTATGGTTCCAGGTCACCTTTAATCTTCATCAGAGGTAACATGAACGCGCAGCGTTATATCCACGAAGTTCTAGAACCCCATCTTTTACCCTATCTTGACACCCTGGCAGATCCAACTTTCCAACAAGATAATGCCCGACCACATGTTGCAAGAGTCACAATAGACTTCTTTCAACATAATGATGTCACATTGTTACCATGGCCACCAAGATCTCCCGACTTATCCCCAATTGAGCACGTGTGGGATATGATGGGTAGGAGATTGCTCAATTTGCAACGTCCTCCTCAGACTCTAGAAGCACTTCGAGAGGAGTTGGTGGTTGCCTGGAATGAGATACCACATGAGGACATTGACCACCTGATCAGAAGCATGCCTAGGCGCGTTGGAGAATGCGTAGCACATCAGGGTGCATCCACACATTACTAAAGGTCAAAGGGCTTTAAAGCAGTGCAATCATTTTGAAATGTTTATCATTTACTTATTATGCTTCATTAAGTACTTATACAAAATTTTATTAAAATAAAACCATTTAAACTGGGTGTTCGGATTTATATGTCACTTAGTATATAAATCGACCTTTAAGCAACAGGTACACCTACAAAACGAGTTCACAACAAGTGTATTACAGCTTGTGCTAAGTTAACATATTGTATAAAAACCTACGTTATGTCACAAAAAAACAACGAAATGTAAAAAACCGACAAAATGTCACTTTTCAGGATACGTAATACGTGATGGGACTACTCGGTCTAGCCCTCAAAGTTCTTTGTGATCGACGTCAAAACTATCAAAAACCTTGCCCGAACACACTTTTCTAGGTCTCGATTGAGCGATACTCGTGAATCAATACTGACGGTTATCGATTCGGTACTTCGATCCTCTTCGCAGCGCCAATTTTGAATGTGCAAATAACGAACGACTTTTTTTTTAAAAGCAACTTTAAACGGAAGACGAATGAGTACTGGTCACATTCTTTTACGAGTACCTCCTATTGGAGAAATTGAAAAGTGCAAACCTAAGCATCTCTACCTACTAAATGTTTAAAAGCAAATTGATTCTATAGTGCCTTTACTCAACAGTAGTTGAAGCTAATAATAGACTCCGTCGTCCAAAATGGTAAAGGTGATCACTTGGCATATTTTGTATTTGCATCTACTCGATGAAAATATAGCTAATGTTCTTGACTAGTAGAACTGCTTCTTTTAAACCTATTTTTTGAAACCAGTGTGAAGTTGGCAGCCATTTACCACTACTAGTAGGTGCAATTTTCTAAAAAGCCTAATGCTTTAGCGCAAGTGTCTCGTGAGGGGGAAATACTATATCAATAAGTGCTAATTAATAGATCACTTCTGAATTGGTATAGCCACCATAAGGAGTGAAAACAACCCTAAGTCCAAAATCGGTATACAGAGAAATCCAAATATCACTGACGGGGTAATGTGTACGACAGAGAAGCGCGAGAAGCGTGTAATACGTATGTTAGAGAGTACATCTTTCTAACATACGTATTGCACGATTCTCTCTCATACACGTTACGATGTGAAAGGTATATGGATTTATCTGGATAGGAGGTAAATCGCGATAATAAATACATATAACAAAAAGCGCCTACTAGCAATATATAAAAAACTACCCTATTGTGATTCCCTTACATCATTTCTGTAGCCATCTCTAAGGGTGGGACTCGTTCAGAAACATCGCGATCCTGGATTATTCCAACAAGACAATATTTTAGCTATGCACAACTAAAAATCGACGGTGATCGAAGTGGTAGAAAGTAAGTCTCAAAATCGAGATACACCACATGATGAAAATCGCCATCACAAGTGACTCATATAGCAAAAAGTATATTCTATTAATACAAGAAATCTCTACTGTCATTCCCATATGCCATTTCTTTAGGGATGAGTAGCCACTTGATAGCCAGCCCCAAGTGTGGTGCTCTTTTCGAAAGATATCGATCCTGGATTGTTCCTACCAGAAGATATTCTAGTTATGCCGTTGATTAACGTATTTTACTTGAAGATGACTAACCTAACACTATATTCCCGCGTTAAAAAATATTCCAGATAAATGAGATACCGTAGCGCCGTCTATGAGAATTTGTCACAGCGGTTTCTCTATTTATTACATACAGTGTTTTTGCCAGTAAATCCAAAACGGTTAATTTGACAGCTGTCAAATGCGACATTATTCGGACATGTCTCAATCGTCTTTTGTTTTCCAGCAACCCGCGTCAAGTTTCATTTTTCTTATGGCCGCCATATTGGATTTTTTGATTTTTGAAAAAAATGTGAAATTTCCAGACTAGTGATGTCTCACAAGTGCATAAAAGATTGCAGTATTACCGAAATATCAGCACACGTAATGTTATGTATTAGTTTCTTCTAAGGAGGCCATGATTTGATGATGAAAAAAAAACATAAACGCCTTGAATTTTCAATAGAATATTAACGTTAATATCGACTTCTCAACAAGTCAAATCGTTTGGGACAAATTCCCAACTATGAGTTAAAAAACACGTCAGAAAAATCGTCATAAATTTATTTTACACTTGAATAAGCCAACATTTTACAAAATTGTAATGTAATGTAAAATCTAATTATGTAAATGGGCATTAATTAACAGATTTACAAAATAACGTCCATTTGCATCCAGACGTTTTTGACAATTGGTGGAACCTGATTTCAAGAAGAACCTTCTAAACTCATAGCACCTGAGAGACTAGCTCGTAAAGCCAGCACAACCTGGTTTCGCAAAAGCTCTAGGTAGTTTTGTCCGTTTAGGTTGTAGTCAAACAAAAATGATCCTATAAGTCTATTTATTCCCTGAAATGATTAATACTTAATTTCAAATAGGTGCCCAATTAAAAATTTGGATTAAATTACCAATGCCCCACACCAAACGTTAGTTCCAAATCTAGTCTGTAGACGTCTCTCTGCCACTTCGTGAGGGTTTTCCACAGCCCAATGATGAGTGTTGTGCCTATTAAAAACTCCACAATTCGTAAACCTACTCTCATCGGACACAAGACATGATTTACAAAATCGGGATTTTCATTAGACTTCCTAGTATAGAAGCTGTTGATTTTGACACACCAATTTCTCGTTCTATACTTCTTACTGATGCACTAGAGATTTCGTTGACAACTTGTAAAATGTTTCTGTCGCGATTTTCGATTTCAATATTGTATCCGCTTCTAAGTTGTTCGAAGGCCCCGAAGGTTTATTAAATTGAGTTTTATGAGGCTGCCGTCGTTTGGGGTACATCTCCAAGTACCTTGCTGAGGTAATGTCGGCGTTTCTGTGTGACTGCAAGCACAATCCTAACATATCAAACTTTTCTTCATTTTCAACAGGTTTTGAAATTTTTTTGTCAGATTTATAATTTTAATGAGAGAACACTACGACTACTTATTAAAACACAATTTCAATACTCTGAATTATTTAACGTGAAAGTCAGAGTCTCCTTATGAGAAAAATGTGTTATTAATTTTATTTTCTATAAATCATGGCAAATTAATACACAACATTACGTGTGATGATATTTCGATGATACTCCAATCCTTTGTGCACTTGTGAGACGTCACTATACTGGCAATTTTAATGCTCTTTTCAAAAATCGAAAAATCCAATAAAGCGACCATAAGAAAAATGAAAGTTGATTCAGGCAGCGGAAAAACAAAAGACGATTGAGACATGTCATACACGCTATCTTAACTGCCTTAAAAAATGTCCTAATAATATCACATTTTGACAGCTGTCAAATTAACCGTTTCGGATTTACTGGCAAAAAACGAAATTTTCAGTTTGTCAACGATATTTCTAAAACCAACTGACCGATCGTAAATCTGAAGCCGGCTATCGAATGCATTAAGTTTCCTCTAAAACATTCCCCATTTAATCTTTGCTGTAGATGGACTCTTGTTGGGGACTTCGTGTGTCATTTTTTCCCTCTCCATCATCGTTTCCTCAGGTTTCACCCGTATCCTAATGTAT